TCTGGCTCCATCTTTTATGAAAGGTAAAATCACGAAACAGATAAATCTTTTCGCAGAAAAATTTTTTAAATTAGAAAATTTAATAAATTATTTTGTTATATATAACTGGTTTGACTCTGTATTTTAATTTCATCCCTCTCAAATATAGGGCAGCTGTGATGCCCATGTTTGAAAAACATTCTTATTTTTGCCGCTTTTGTTAATTTGTTCTCACAGTTGGCATGTGAGCACATGAAAAACAATTTATAAGATCAAAGTAAAATCTTTCTTTCTAGATCATTAACGTTTTTTATTTTCAAAATATCTGTTAAGCTGTCTTTGGAAAAAGAATATGAATATTTTTAATGATAAATATTTATATCCAGACCGAACTCTAATTTTAGATTGTTAGACATTATGCTTTAAAAGTTCTGAATTTAAGTGGAAAATTGTCAGCTATTCTTTGGAGCATTTATACTAATTCTTTTGTATTAGTTTACAACAGGCATTGCAACTGTCTAAAAATTGATACTGTGGTCTAGGGTTTAATAGCAATCTTCAATTACTTTAATATCAAGAGAAGTTGGAAATCATAAAAGAATAATTTTTCTGTTTCTACCAATTTTCGTAATTAATTTAATTTTATATAAAGTCACTCCATCTGGACTTAAAATTCTCTGCTTGACAAATTAAAGATATGAATAAATTTTGTAGAATCATCATAGAAATCTTCTCAATGTTTGTGAGTACTTTTGTTCCATTTATAGTATTTATTCATAATTTGTTGTTGTCTGGCTCCATCTGTTTCTAATTCCTATATTGATTTGGTATTCTGCAGTTTTTTTCTTCAATCAATTAAATTTCATTTATCATTAGTATTTAAAAAACATATTATAAAAAAGTATTCTATGCTTTAGCTAAACATCTTTCATATTTTGTTAATCTCGTATATTTTTACAACTTAAATTTTTTTCTTTGATCTTTCCATTTTTATATATTTGAATCCTCTGGAATTTTTCTTAATCTAATGGGCAAATTTGAGAGAGTGTTTCTCTCCTTTATATTAATGAGAAAATATTGTTTTCTTTACCTCAGAAACATCAGTGAAATGAAATTTATGTGTTAGGACTAACTAACTCTTTAAAAAGATTTAAAATTTTTATTTATTTGTTTGGAATATCTTGTTTGTATGTATTAATTTATAATATGATTAGTGTGTTTGTTATAATGGGACGAAATTTAAAAGTCTTCCTGTATAATAAAATTTGGCAGATTGTCTTTGTCAATATAGTTTTAATGACTTAATTAGGGGTTTAAAAAATCCAAGGTGCGTAAAAATTCAAATCTGGTGTCCTATAAGTTTATTTTTGCTCGTTTTTTAGACTCCTAACTGCCAATATTTTCGTTTAAACGAAAGATAATTTTTACTTACATTACATCTGTCTAGAAAATTCTGAAAATCTGCTTTTTTATTAATTTGCATGACATCATACTTTGTACTAGATTCTACTTTTTGAATTTTAATTATCAATTATCAATGCCTCTTTCTATTAACTTCCATACAGTTACTTTTAGGAATCTGAGAAAGATTGAGTTATTCTGTATTATTTTATGACTATTCAAACTAAAATGCTAGAAATATCTGATGGTAATAATGTCTAGGAAAATGCAGCATCCACGAAAAATGCCTTAATGTAGAATAACGATGCTACATGAACAAATCACCTAACATAAGTTCTAGGAATCTCATGCCATGGTTAAATTACAAAGTTAAAACAGAAAAGTGTAAAGCCTGCAGTGATTCCTAGATTGTTTTTTTATTATTAAAAGTTGGATTGATCGAATTTTTCAATGGGAAGCATATTTTTAACCACTTTATTTTTTTAGATAATATTTAATTAAAAATAATAATTATCTTTAGCGTTCTTCCATGAAAGGTAAATGGTTACTTTTCGTACTGTAATATCCTGGTCCCTAAAATGTTGGTCAGGACCTGAAATTTTGAACCTATGTATACCCATGTTCCCAATCAAAATTTTTACCTAAATTTTGTATGCATTGTAATTGATTTTAGGTCATTAGCATTTATATGGGAATGATGGTAAATCTTGTTGATGCTTGGCAACCTTATAAAGCAGCTACACAAGCATTGAGCAACACTATTGACATTGCTAATGTTAAAGAACAGGTAATTCTTTTACAAAACACATTTAATGAAATTTGTGCATATTTTATAAAAATATTATCTTTGTATTAAATGTTGCCAAATTTACATGATAAAATAGTTGTAATAAATAGAAAACTGCTATATGTGTAAAAATATAATGAAATAGTTTACAACTTCACTTAAGAATTTATTGCATAAATTTCTAAATTTATTCCATAATAGATATGTTAAACTTATTTATATCTTTTTTAAATAAAAATGTTTTATTTATATTTTAAGTGAATGAAAAAAAATTAATGTTGTCTAAAGATGCGATAATAAAGTTTAGCTTAAATTTTTGTGATTGATTTCATACTGTACCATTTTTACTACCGAGTAAATTTAAGAAATTATTCTGACATAATTAACAGGATATATTTAACCTTTAAAATCTGGAAAAAGCAGGGGAAATTTATCAAAAACTTTGCCAGGCATCCTGTAAAGGTTTGCATGCACTTAACTTAATGCACTAAGGTTAAATGCACTTAAACTTTTTACACTCTGAAAACACTCTTAAGTACCTTTATTCATCTTAGATCTGTGAAATTAAAAAATTTGATAAAATAAATTATTGTTGTAATGAGACTAAAATAAGACACTTTTATAAAAAAAATCCCGTTTTTGTTAAAAATGTCACTTGGAACCTTCTTCCACTAAACTCTTATTTTATTGATTGAATAGATTGATAATTGAGGAGAAAAAAAAAAGATTTGCTAATTTTGAATAATAATAAGTACATTAATTTTAAAGCAGGTTTTTCTTGCTTTTTTTTTCTAGGGAATTTAAAATCGGCCTTGAATAATAATTTTTCATAACGTTAAAAATTAAAAAAATTTTTTGTTTTGTCATTAAAAGTTCTTTCAATGATTGCCAGTTGTTACCATAGCTCACATGAATAAAGTAATAGCTTCTTTTTACCTTTTATTTCAGTGTCAGAGATACCACACTCGAGTTGTGAAAATGATTCCAACTGTTGAACATCTTTTAAAAGAAGGAGCACTGTCTGAAGAAGTAGTGCTCGATAATGTTCCTAAACTTTTAAATGTAGCCAGAGAGTGTAATGTGACTTTAAGATGGATGTTGCTACACACCATAGCATTAACACCAGGTTTGCAATGTTTGTGTATTATATAATGAAGTTTTGAAAAATAATAATAACATTTATTACCAATAAAATTAAATTACAGTAAACATTTAAGAATTGGAAACCAGGAAAAATTTTAAAAAGTATTTAAAAATTTAGGGTCTTTTTCTTGGGCAATAAAACTGAATAAATTTATAGAATAAATTTTTGATAAAGAAATTAAATGATTTGAGATTAAAATTTCAATTATGGAAGGCATTCGAATAGCAGGTGTTACATTTATTTTCTTTCATAATTATGATCAAATCAGAATAGGCCAATCTCCTCAACAACCTCCAAACATTAAATCCCAATTCCTAACGAAGAAAAATGTGTAATAGTTAAATATCTGAAAGGTTAAAAAAACTTATTAAATTAAAATGTATGTTCATCGAAATTAAATCTATTCTTATGTCTAAACTAATTTTTATGAAACTAATTTTTATGTCGATGTAAGCAAAAATTATTTTTTTTCATAGATTTTTCATTTCCAACAAAGTGTTCTTAAATTTTCTTAAACTTAAAAATATAGAACAAAAAACACATAACATCACTTATAACATAAAAAATATCACATATAACATAAAAAATATAAACATCAAAGCTTTCTTAACCTGCTAGTGGATACAAGGTATTCTTAGTGACTTCTACTATCTCAAATATGCCTTTTTGTGAAATAATTTTCTTTACATATTTCTTTATGATCAAAATTGACCGATTCTGTTAAATGTTTAAAAGAAATTACTTAATCTAAATACATTTAAGAAAGTAAAAAGTTTTTTTTTTCCTAATTTTTTTAACGTATGAAAATTATGAAGTGTTTTGATAATAAAGGAATTGGTATTATATTCCATTCTTATGAATGAAATCTGAAATTATTCTTTTATTATCGAAAACAAGTGTTAATCAAGGAAAAAAATCGATAACTATTTGATTCATTGTGACTTTATTAGGAAGAATTTTTTTTCCGTTCATGATTTAAGCTGACCAATTTTATTGTATGTTTCAAAGAAATACTTTAATGTGAGTACATTAAAAAAAAAGTTATGCAAAATTTTTTTTTTGAAATGTTCCATTTTCAAGATTGATATATTTAAACATTTATTCATTATGGAACTCAAAGAAACTATAGATTTATTAAAGAACTTGATTTATGACTTTTTCAAAAATAATGTATATGTATTTTTTTTTACATTTTTCTTTGTTATCAAAATTGTTTCTTCAGTAGAATGTTTTCAAAAAAATTTATAATTTAATGTTTGTACACAATTTATAAAGTTATATTTTGTTTAAAAAAATTAATGTGATTTTTTTTCTGAAAATTGAGAAATTTATTTAGAAAGTTTCATCCTTAAGAGAAAAAATATAATCTTACATTTATTATCAATAATAAACATATTTTTCTCATCATCTCATATTTTTCTTTAAAAAATTGTTTATCTCTCTGTACAGTTTCTAAGCTAATTTAATCTTTAAATAATAGTTATGTGTTTATATCTATACACCTTTAATTCTGAAATTAGGATATTTTTTTAGCTGCTGAAGTTAACAAAAAATGTCGGCAGTTGAGAGAGCAAGTGATTAATGATAGTCGTTACAATCCGTTGCAAGTTTTCCAACTACTACTATATACTGCTCAGTTTGAACTGAAAGTAAAAGAGGTGTGTTTTATTATTTTAATTCTTAAATATTTTTTAAAAATCTATATGTACATTAATTAATTGATGTATAATTTTATAAAGTGTAACATCTATGTCATCGCTAAACTATTAAAAAAAGTAAGGAAAAAAAATTTTAAAATTTTCTTCTCTTTCAATTACTAAAAGAGTTACATTAAATCGACATAAACATTTTTACGTAAGATATGGAAACAACATGTACATAATAAGGAATCTTATAGTTTGAATACTTTTATTATTATAATTTCTAATTACCCTAAGCTGCTGAAAATTATAATTTTTGAATTCAAGTATAAATAAACTTTTTTTTGTATTTTACTGAATTTCTGTGGCTTGAAACAGTTTTCTAACTTGACTTGAAACAGATGTTTATTTTATCAGTTGATCTGAAAGAACTCTTTAAGTGAAATTTTTATGATTCATAAGCATCAGCTTTAGGAAATAAAGTAACAGTGGGAAGTTCTGTGAAAAAACAGACATAATGTTGTTCATGACATAATGTTGTTCAACAGACATAATGTTGTTCATGAAACTTAATAATCGATTTAAAACGGTCTTGTTTAATAAAGTGAAAAAGAAATTAATTAAGGAAATTAATAAAAATGAATAATTTGAAGAAAAAAAAAACATGTTTTAAAACTCAAATTTCAAACTTATGTGTTGCTTGACACTTTGTTCAATCGTTATGTGTCTTAAATGTGATTCAATCATTATAAAAATGTATAATGATAATTATTTATTATTTATTTAATAATGAAGTGATTCTAATGAGGTAAATAAATTAAAATCTAATCATAACCAATGGAGCGCTAAAACACCATGGAAAATTAAGATTAACTATAATAATTTACGTCTAAAATTAGTATAAATAAATTTTAATTAGTACATCTTGGTACATTAGTACAAATTTTAATTTCGTACTATAACGAATCTGGTATGAGAAATCCATATCATCTTTTTTTAAAAAAAAGTGCATATACCATTAAAATCTAGAAATAAAAATGCTAAAAAATTTTTTTCCTTCTGAAAAGTACAAAAAAGGAATTGCACAATGAACTACAACATTAGTTGTTTTATACATTTAGTTTGCCTAAATTAGCACCATAACTGAAATCCCGATTTTTTTTAAATTTAGTTTTTCACAAGCATGATATTACAATTTCAGTGGTATAAATAAAGGGAATGAATTTTAAAGCATACAGTGTTCCCTAAAGCCAGATTCAGGATTATGGAATTCAAAATTTGGCACCTTAACTTACTAAACATTGATTGACATATCCATGTTCTCAATGATTTGTCCAAACAATTTTAATGCTGGTTCAATTGTTATGCTAACAAGGAGATAAGGAACTGCATTAGGAATCTTAAGGCATGTTCACATTTGAAGCTTCTGGAACAGTTGAGTTCACTTGAAGGCTTCATGTGATCAACAACCTGATGGACAGGTGTAAGCATACGAAGACATAATAGAACTACTCCTTCAAACTGACATGAAGCTTAAGGAAAGTAAAGAGGGAGTTATTGAACAATTAGCAACGTTCTTCAATTAGCATTCCTCACGCTTCAAATAATTCTTTGGAAACCTTGGGAAGAAAAGAGAAAAATAAAATTGAATGAATGAAATAAAAATATACAAAGATTAACAGCTTGAAATTTGTGTGCAATAATTTATCAAAATTAAGGAAATGAATTCAACAAAATAAGGATTAAATTAATTCCAATTATTGAAATAAATTGTAAAAATTGAAAAAAATCAATTAAATAAAGTGCATAAGCAAGATAAATATTTAATTAATGCCTATTATTTTAAATAAGTAGAATTATAAAATTAAGCTTGGAACAATACAATGGAAAAGTTTAAATTAAAATGAAATAAATAAATATTACATATGTGAAAAGAAATATCATTGACTGCTTTATGTTTTTTTCTTTCAAAGCTTTTTAAGCAGCTCCTTAAAGAAAAGCAAGAGAAATGGATGAAATATAAAGCAGAAGGTGTTGAAAGGATGAATGAATTAGGAGATGTGTTTTCAGGAACGAGGCCTTTAACACGTGTGGAAAAAAATGGTAAAAGTTTCTATCTTATGGCCGTTTTAAAAAACCTTTAATTTTTTCTGTAGGTTTAATAACAGTAAGTAAGTTTATTTTCAGAGGAAAAGTTAAATATTTAGGCTTTCTCTTTCATTTTAGATTTTTTTTTGTTGAGAAATTTGTACCAATTAGGCTTGAAACATTAGGTCAGTTCTGTAATACAGAGCTTTCAGAGCACGCTCCAAATTCTTTCAACTTTTGAGCAGTTTATTGTTTAACAGTTAATAATAGTTAATCGTTTAATGGTTAATTTTTCAATTGATTCAATTATAATTTTATTTATTTAATAATAATTCTTTTATAAATATTTTAAATATTTCCATCAGGAAATATAACCATAATGAAAATGTTCAAATCTTAAAAAGTAATATAATACAATTCACACTTTTTACAAACTTAGAAACATTCCTACTGAATTTGGTTTGATCATTCTCAATTTCTAATTGTACATTTTATATGGATTTATTTTTTGATGAAAAAGTGACAAAATAAATGATGTCAGTGCAGTATTGGAAAATATTTTGTATTGAAATGAAAAGTTTGTTTTCAAACCATTTGAATTTTACTCAAAATTGTTTGCTTATAACAAAAAGTAAAAGAGAGCGATAGAATATCTCCATGCTTCTCTTAAAATGAAAATTGTTTAAGTATTTCAGTCTGTTTTTGAACAACATCGCAGAACAATTGGGAGTGGGCTCCAAAAATTCTGTGTTGCAGAACTGACCCATTTTCTAATTTCTGGACCTTGATTTAATATAAAGAATTTAATTCAGAAAGTGTAGATTGATGTTTTATTTGCTATTAAAAATTTTGTTTTAAGTTTATTAAGTTAATAAACAGATAATATTGATATGGAGGATATTTTTAGTTGGCAATTTTTTGTAGTTTGTTTTTGTTAGATGTAAGCAGATTTTCATGAAATTTTATAATGCTGTTATGTTACTACTTCTGATACTGTTATTTTAATACAAGTCTAAAGATTTTATTGCTGCCAGTTTGTTTAAAATTAGTTTTTCATAAACTTTTATTTCTGTTTTGATCTGTTATGCTTCATTTATGTAAAACTGTATACATTATAATTTTTATAAGAAATTCGGTTTATCTGTGAAAAATTTTCTTACAGCAATTTTTCAAAGTTTTTATTGTAACATAATTCATTATTTTATTATGTTTCAGATAATTTACAAGCTTGGTTTAAAGATATGGGTAAGCAAATCGAAACTTTGAATTATGATGATGCTACTGCTACTGGAAGAAAAATTGTACAGCTGATTCAAGCTCTTGAAGAAGTATCTAAATTTGTTTTTAATATTAAATTGATTTTGTCATAGCAAACTTTTTTTTAATGTTGAATCAATTTTTTAAGGACATTCATACATAATGTGTGTATTTATTATACCTGAATAATGATCAGAATAGATGTTGTAGGATCTGTTATTCACAGTATTAAATTTTTGCACAGCTTTGAGAAAATATTTTTTTGCTTGCATTTTATTTGTATTACTAGAAGTATGTATATTGAGTTATTACACAACATTCTTACCAATATTTTTTTCTTTTTCGAAAAGATTTTGCTGTGCAGTGATATAAATTTCAGTGCTGGAACTGAATAAATAATTGTCAGTGCAGCATTGGACAATATTAAACATTTCATTGTAATGATGGCATA